GGATAAAATAAAAAATAAGGATAAAAGACAGGAAATAAACATAATTTTATCAATGCACAAATAACTGAATACAGATCACGATGGGTACAGCAAGAATGTGACACCTTGGAGACGAGCAGTTGTTCGAGGTGGGCTGGATGTCTTAATCGTGGCATGGGGTATTCGTGCATGTCGTACGTCGAGGTTTCTTAAGACCCTTTGTATTGCAGACCTGCGGAAGCCGTTAGCCAAGAAATATAAGGCGGCCTCGCTAGTCATTTGACACCAGAACACTTTGAGGAAGGTACAGGACTCGCGCAACCTGAAGAGCCCAGAAGATACAAACTCCGGCCGCGGAAGCGTACGCAAGCATAGAAATTGAATTTCACTGTATCAATGTTTGTAGTCAATAATTAATACTTTTATAGGTTTTATAATTTGCTTTACGATTATATTTTGTGATATTTCCAAAATAGTTTGGGTATTAAATATCTTAAGCATATTTCCCCATAGCAATTAAATTCATAAGAAACATAATACTTTTCTGTTCTAAAATAATCACATGTGGGTGAAATTTTGAAAGAATAGTTATGATGGTAATAAGTTAAGTACAAGTATTTATTAATATTTTGCTGGAGTTAATGTTTCGTTTTTAGCAAACTATTGTTTCTCTTGCAATTCTTTATTCTGTTCAACAAATTTTAGTATTTTCAAATTAAACTGTAATTTATTTTCAGGCTTTTGACTTGTGTAAAATTTCGGCATTTTTGCATAATCGATTCAATTAGTGCTTTATACAAAATTCTTAGCATTTCATTTTTACGCTTTTTGCTAATGCAATGGATTGTACAATTTCCTTCATGCATTTATATGTATTTATCATGCAGTCATATGGTATTTTAAAATGTATTATTTTGATTTGTGAAGAATTTATGTACAAGTTATCCTATGACCATTTGGCAATTGAAATAAATTCACTCTGCAGAACACCTAACATACATTTGATAATTTTTACGTTTAACAGGATTCCATCATCAGAATTCAAGCCGAACTTACACTTTTTAACAACACTGAATAATCTATTGACATACATTGAAACCCCTCCTTTACGCTTTTTATGGGACCCTAACAAAAATTGTGTAAATGGCGGTAAGTGCAAATAAGAGGTAATGAAGTTTACAATGAAAATCTTACGCATATCAACACTGAAGCATAGTAAATTTTAAATGTCGCAACGACTCTTCCATGAGTCTCCGCAATCTACTGATGGTTGCCTTTGATAATGCAACAATGTACTCATTGTTGATTGATGGGAGGGAAATGGTATTTCTAATGTAAGAAAAAATGCGAAGTTCCCAAACTCAACAAAATGTTTATTTTCTGCAGTTCGTAATGATTTCCAACTAGTAATTTTTAATTTATTTATTTATGAAATGATAGGAAGAGGACTTATACTACCAATTTACAGAAAAAAACATACGGAAGAAGTACAAAGAATTCCCTACTTTGATTTTTGAGCTAATAAAGGATGAGTAAAATTACTACCACCAACTGCAAGGTCATGTACTCCCAGGTGGAGATGATGATAATGATTATTATTATTTTGTTTATTCTCAAAGTTTTAGGTTTCACATGGATACCACATATACAATACCAAAGCATGGTAACACAGACATATTTAAAATCTACAAAACAAATTAAGGCAGTCTAACACATAAACAAAATAACTGCTTTCAGATGTGTAAACATAAAATAACAGTTTTCAAATGCTAATAACAAATACAATTTCTGACAATGAGCTTTCAAAACCCAACAAAACCCATGAATCTCCTGACTAGTGAGCAGGTACTGATTATAACCGACTTCTGGAGGCCGATGATAATGCTCTTCTCCAAGCATAGTTCTTCCAACGATCTGCAGAGAGTTTTTGGTATCACGCCAGTTTCTGACAGTACAATTGAGATAGTTTTCACTTCTGACACTCGCCTTTGTTTTTTTACGGCAAATACTAGTTCTCTGTATTTGTCGATTTTACTGTCAGTCAGAACTGTCTGTCAGAAAACTGGTCCCAGTATAACTTATGTGTCTCATTTTCTAGTATCTCTTCTGGATGATACTGGTAGTATGGTGCATCTACTTTCTGAGGAAGCCTGTGTTTTTTAGCTAGTTTGGAATGAATGATGTTGCTCACTTCATCGTGTCTCACTTTATAGTCAGTGGGAGCTAGACAACTACAGCCTGATATAATATGCTGAATGGTTTCATGATCTCGACCACACATGCGACATTCATCGGTTAGTACTCCTGGGTCTTTGATGGTATATTTTAGGTAATTCTTTGTGGGAATCACCTGATCTTGTATTGCTATCATGAAACCTTCGTTCTCAGGGTACAAATATCCTATACTGAGCCATTTGTACGACATTTCTTGGTCGACATTTGGATTGGCTACTGCAGCAGGATACGCACCGTGGATTGCTTTCTGTTTTCAGGAATCGATCTCTTGCTGCAAAGAGAGCTGATGAACTTGCATATCTTGTTTTAGATTGAGGGGCGTGTAATTGTCATGTGCCTGCACAAGTACCTTGTAGAGTCGAGAAGTACATGCCTTTTCTGCAAAATATTTCCTCATGGCTATTATCTGTTTGGCATGGAGATTCGTGAACTTCACAATACCACGCCCTCCCATTTGTCGAGGCAGTGTGACCCTCTGTATCGCACTTTTAGGATGGTGACAACCGAAGCGTGTCATTTGAACTCTTACATGTCTCTCCAATTCCTCTAGGTCGGTTGTGGAACATTTAAGAATACCCATCGAGAAGGTGATAATGGATATAGCATTAGAGTTAATGGCAGCCGTGAGGTTTCGGGAGTTGAGGGAAGTTTTTAACACTGACTTGAATCTGTCAGCAACCTCTGTTTTTAGTATCTCCTTCAGTTGATGATGTGCAATCATATTTCCTTGCTGAATCCCAAGGTATTTGTAGAACTCATCAGCTTCCAGAGCAGTGATTGTTTCTCCATCAACAGTCTCGTATGTGAGCTCACTAGTGAGTTTACCCGTCTGTATTTGTTGTATTTTGCATTTATCAATGCCCAGTTGCATATTTATGTCCCTGGAGAAGTCTTCAGTAGCTTTCATCTGAATTTTTAAGCCACGCACCGTACCAGAGTAGAGTTTGATGTCGTCCATATACGCTAAACGGGCTATCTGCAATCTTTCAGTGCCTCTCAGTTCGAAACCTAATTTCAGGTCTTCTAGGAGTGTCGATAACGGGTTCATTGCCAAGCAGAGCCAGTAAGGGCTCAGGCTATCGCCTTGAAAGATTCCGCGCTTTATATTAATTTCCTTGGTAAACTGTTTCATTTTTTGAAGTGACACGAATAGTTGTCTTCCATTTGCCCATGATGGATTTCAGGAAATTCGCGATTGCCAAGTTCACACGATATAGTGATAGCACATAGAGGAGCCAATCATGCGGAACCATGTCATAGGTCTTAATGTACATAATGTTATAATACAATAATGTATAATAAATGAAACAGGTGAACAAGTTGCGTAACTTCTTACATGCTTGAGACATGGCCACACTATCAATGATGAGTTGCTCCTTACATCCAAGGGAGCCCTTCTGCATCCCTTCTGAGCTTCGGCTAATATAGTATTTGCTACACAGTGTTTCTCGATAGCCATTGATAAACAACTTGTGATGACTTTGTAGAAAGAATTGAGACAAGTTATTGGTCTATATTTCGTAGGATCTGTAGTATCACTGGTTTTTGGCTTCATATATGTGACACCTTCACCCAGAAAGTGCTACACTTCTTCAGAATTCTTCAGCTGGTGGTTTATGAGATTTAGAATTTTCCCATGGAAGCAGGTGAACTTTTTGAACCAGTAGTTATGAAGACCGTCTGATCCAGGGCATTTCCAATTTTGAAGCTTCTGTACAACTTCATGTAGAATATCTAGGATGATTTGACCGGTTGTCATTTCGGTGTTGTTGTTGTTATTATTATTAATAATATTAATATTATTAATAGCAGTCATTTACGAATTAGACCATTTGAACATTACGAACATTTGGGTCGGTGGTATTCTGTCATTGTGCAATTTCATTCTCGAAAATTGTTCTTTGTGCTTATAATTTTTAAAATTAAAAAAATTCTGGAATACCACGTTTATTCCTTGATTTTTACCATATGTGTTTATAAAAATTACAAGTTTAATTTTCTTTTAAACCTCTCAAATTGTGGATATTCTATGGTGCGTAGTACAAAATCTTGTAATACAGCGACGAATTATGTCCGAAAATCTTTCATATTCTGGTGCCCTGGGTTATTATGAAAGTGGATAAATCTTCATATATTTAGCAATTTATTTCCCCTAACACCTGTGTTCAGAATCTTGTGAGTCCTTGATACTGAAAAATCGATATGTATCTGCTTTTGGTCAACGCTGGTGTCTAAAGCATTCAGAAGGTCTTCAAAATTGATGTTCCCCGATCAATTTTGCTTTTAAGAGTACTTTACATAAAGCCTTTGCATTTTCAAAATTGTCCCAAAAAGGTTTCACATTTTTTAAAATTTAAAAATTACAATTTGTCTCTCGGGTAGGGATAAGACATTTAAAAATACCGCTTGTCGCATTGCGTTGAACTAGCAGAATTTTCGAAAATTGCAACAAGACATTTTTTAGGAGTATTTCTACAAGAACAATTTTTAATTTCTAGGTACTGCTTACGCAGTATAAACTATTGTCATACTGCGGGAAATAACGGCGAATTTTCAGCATAAAAACTTATTGCCGGGCCCTGATAATGAAAATGTGGATAAATCTTGATCCTACGAATAGTAAATTACTTCCTCTAATATATAGTGTAGTTAGAATCAATGTTTTGATGGTCCTTGATATCGAAAAACCGATTGACGGTTAACGTCTGTGAACCTTGTTAGCTATTAAGTTTTTATATTATTTATATTATATGTTATTATTATACTACTATGTTCGTTAGAGAATGATGCAGGTCTCATTTGCAGCAGAGGGTAAGTTGACAGCATTAGTCTATACTCTCTGGGCAATAGTACACACCACGCTCATGGGTACGTTCATCGACGTTCATAGACAAACTCAGATTATTCTAAGATTTATTTAACCTTGCTCTTGTCGGAAAACCTCTGTTCACGGTTTCATCCAATCGAGAGCTTGAACGTTCCCATAGTGATGTCACTGTTGGGACATAAAGCTTCCGATTGGATAATACTGCAACAGTTGATTTACGTCAAGTGCATGGCTAAATAACTCGTATTAAACTCCTTGGGTGCTCTGTGATGCTTTGTGAAACTCGTGTTCAGAGTTGTGGGTTGTTATGTCGTTCGTTTAAGTGAAAGGGAAAAGTTATTGTAATTGACTATTGAGCTGTGTGTTTGTTGTGTTTCTTGGAATTTAGTCAGTGGAAATTTGTGCTGGCAGTGGCTTGTAGCGGAAGCGAAATCAAGATAGTGAAGTATATTATCTGTCGAGCTTGTCCCAAAGACCGGTAATGCATATATTTTGTGTTTTGTTTTAATCTGTTTATCACAACTTTCTGTGGGTGTTACTTTTCGAAAACGTGTTGGGAGCATAAATAGACGTAGGTGATTTTTGAAGCGGTATAATGAAAGCTACTTTAATTGCAAAATTGTTATAATTTTTTTAATAAATAGAAGAGCAAATTTCACCTGTATATTTTCACGTAAACTGAACCGAAACAATTTCCTTGCATATCGGGACAATAGAGTTCACTTTGTTATTGAAATCTCTACCAATAAGTCCCGGTACACAATGTTTCAAGAACAGACATCCATTAAAACATTTAAGATTTATAATTTATTGTTTAGTAATATGTTATAGTAATATATTATTATTTATAGTTCCTCCAATTGTCAGAACGTTGTCTGCATCAAGAAAGGGAGACTTATTTCCAAAAACGTTATTTTGCGGAATATCAATTTTAACCTGTGCGGAACATAATTTCTTCGTCAATAGCAATGTATTTTGCTATACATAATTACTACATACTGGCTGTTTTGTGAAGTTTATTAATGAATTGTTCACAAGTAAAAAGAAATTATTTTCTTAACACACTTAAAGAATGATTTTGAGAGTATCTCACTTGTGTGCTAACGATTTGTATATTGAATAGAAATATTCCATGACAGTGGTCTCTGGTGGTTCCTACATATCTCCTATACTTCATTATTTCATTTTTACAACTCCTGCCTTGCCTAAAATGAATCTTTAAAACAGTGGTAAACACATTTCCATGGTCATGAGCCCCATTGAGGATGTTTGCAAATTAATTAAAAAGATTCCTTTTATAAGGCAGGAGGATAAGAATATTCTAATGTCATTGGCCACTATAAGAAAATTGAAGTGTAGCTGGTATTGTAAATTCTTGTTTGTTGCATCAACATTATTTTTGTGCAAAAAGTTTCTGCTATCTAGTGTCCTTCTATGCTTCCTTCTTATCCGTTAGAGCAGCTCTCGGTATTTTTATTTACATTGCTCTTCCAAATTTGTAATGGAAGCCATGAGGAAAGCATTATCTTGTTATTGTAGTTAATTTACTAGGTCTTTGACCTTTTCCACTGCTGAAGATTACTTCAGGAAAACATGTAAGAAATTACATAAAATCTTGTAATGGGTTTTAGATAAACAGACGAGCTGTTAATCAATTTCCCCTTTCTCCCAATGTGTAAGGTAATTTCAACATTCTATTTTGTATAATACCAGTTGGAGCCATTGTTTGCATTTTTTAATGGGTCTCAGAAATTCTCGTACATATTCATCTTTTAATACACTTTATGTCAGATACGGGGCAGTAGATAATAGATAGGGACTGAAGATTTCCGTTTTCAGGTTAGACAGTTTGTTTTATTCAGGAGACAGCATGAACATATGATTTTCCACGGATTCGAAAATATTTTCTATTTTGGACATGTTTCGGTTTTATTCAGGTTCTATCTATGAACAAGTAGTTGTGAAACTAATCAAAATTATTCAAAATAAGTTTTTTTTCATATCCTTGTGCTTGTGCTCCTTAAAGTCTTAATTTGAAAATTTAAGTCCCAAAGGGACTGCAGTAAAGTGAATGTTTTAAACTCTTACTGTTTTAAAAATCATTTGCTCTTCCAAGTTTCATTTTTATAGGAACAAAGTATGCCAAATGAACCCAAAAACAAGAAACATTTAAAATTGCAATATTTCAAAGTATTTTTTCCACTTTCCATAACTATTACAAAGTTGAATTTTCTCATGATATACCTTTTTTTGTCTGTAATCCTATAATCTACAGTCTAGCTGAGAAAAAAATTGTCTGTATTTTACATTAGTACACAGTATTCAACTAGTTTCTTAAATCCAATGTGTGTTAAGTGATGACGACATGGTTTAATTTCTCTTTTCAACATTCTATACAGTTTCATAAACCAACCTGTTTCAGCTTCAGGAAAATCATACAAAATTTTCTTTAGTTTTAATTTTTGCTTTCTTTGATCATTCATAGCAGTTATGGAAAGTGTAAAAACCTTCCAATTATTTGTTTAGATCCATTTACAACTAGTCTTGCAAACACCACCTACATAATGTTTTATTCAAAAAGCCATTTACTTCCTAAAATCAGTACTCGTTAATTCCTTTTGATTGTTTACATCCCAAGTACAGTGGAATGTAGATAATCTGAACCAATTGGGACCAGGGATCATTCGGTTATTCAATAATTTGAATAACTGAACATAAAAATGGCAAGTGTACAGTTCATATTTATTCATTAAAATTATTATACTGCTTGTCTCTATAGCACTAAAAGGCAGTTGGTTTTCTGCCAACAAATATTCCGAGTGAGTGACAGCTGTTTAGCATTTACGATCGGTTGTTTGACAGTGTACCGTTAGTTCTCTTGCACTTCAAGATGGTGAAAAGCATTTTTTCTGCTAATAATAAACATTCTGAGTTCTTAAGCATTTATTGTAGGCTTTGTCCGAGTTCACTGAAGTCAGATGATTGACTATAGTTCAGTATCTCGTTAATACAATATTAATGTCAATCTTATCAGGAATGTTTCTCAATATTCAGTATTACAAAAGAAAATGAATAGATATAGTATATGGTACCTAATTTAAAAAATAATTATTCAGAGAAAATAAAAGTTCGGATATTTGATGTTTGGGTGATTGGATAATTGATGTCCCACTGTATCGTAGTTTCCGTGTCCATCTCTTCTTCCACAGTTCACTGTTAATGCTTCTCCCCATTCAAGATTATCACACCCATTTCATTACGTTTTGATCATGTCTAGGAATAGTTTAGAAGATATTTTTTTATTTTCATATTTTTAGTATTAGCTAGGTTTCAATGAAATTAAATTTAAATTATTTTTGAATTTAATTTTAAGTTATTATATTATTTATTAATTTAATTTTAAATCAAGTGATTTATGTCAATAATTCACAAAAATGAATGATTTAAATAAAAAGTATAAATTATTGTAAATTTTACAAATAATTAAACATTTAAGGTCACGACAATTGATCTGAGCGCTGGGAAACTTCTCAGCATACAGGGACACTATGACCTTCCCCCTTGATATTTTTTAATGAGATTCGACTCGATTGCAGGACAAGGAATTGAACAAATGTGCAACTCGAGTCTTTATGAGCTGTGGGTAGTAAGACTGGATGTTGACCTGTACTAAGGATGGTGGCAGTCCAAGTTCTGTCAGATGATTTGAAAGTTTTGGGAGACAATACACACCTTCAGTAGATGTCGCAAAGATGTTTACACTATTCTAGCTAACCTCCATACTTGAATAAGAGATTTACATATTTGTTACTTTTTGGATTTCTTGTTGGCTAGTGTTGTATAACAGAGGTTCAACTATATCTTCTAAAACTAGGTGTTCATTCTTTTATCAGTGACCGATACATCTGGCCTGTGAAAATCCACTATGACAAAGGGGTGTAGAACCTAAACATGTACGTAATCTAAAACATGATTGTGTGTTGTGCAGATTTCATCATGGCGACTGCTATGCCCATCAACCCCAAGCCCTTCCTCAACAGTTTGACGGGGAAGCCAGTGATGGTGAAACTGAAGTGGGGCCACGAGTACAAAGGATATCTGGTCTCCGTGGATGGGTACATGAACCTGCAACTCGCTAACACTGAGGAGCATATAGACGGAGCTTTGACTGGAAACTTGGGAGAAGTTCTGATAAGATGTAACAATGTTTTATATATTAGAGGTGTTGAAGAAGAAGATGAAGAAGGGGAAATGAAAGACTGATATCAAACTTTGGATTTCTGAAGTTGTTTTGCAATATCTGCAACAAATAGAAACTTACAAAGCGAGTGGACTGATGCATTGAGAAATGCAATTGGTACTTCTGTGGATGAAATGTCAACTTAAGTGTTATTTGTGTATTATGAGGAGGACAAGAAGAAGACTGTGACTTACACAGGTTGATATGCCATTTCAAATTGATCTGAATTACCCCTCTGTTTTACCCCTCTAAACTAGTTGTCAACAAATTTTACGGGGAAGTCAATTGCAAAATAGTAAGTAATATCACTATAGCAGAAATGTTTCATTTGTTTAAATTTTTTCCTTGTCATAATTATCTTTATTGAATTTGTATAAATTTGCGGGCAACTAATTTCATTCTAGAAAATTGTTCTTAGTGCTTATAATTTTTAAAATTAAATGTTTTCTGGCTGTAATTGTGCTGTATTTTTTTATTTTCCTCCAAAGTATTTTTGCTTGCTATAATAGTAGCGTATAAACATTGGATGTGAAACTAATTCCAATGTTGAGATTGCAGTGAAAGTCTTCAGCATCTCCAACAATAAAAATCCTTTATTTTTTGAAACATTTGTCCTTCCTTCTGCCTGAAAACAACACTAGTGCCTATACCATACATAGGATGTTTCCCAAAAATCTATATTCCCCAAATAGTACATCCAAACTTTAGACCCTGGGTATTTGAAATGGGGAATTTTAATTTTGAAAAAACTTTCTTTGTATGCAACCCCTACAATATTTTCCAAAATTTCTAAAATACTACTTTTATTATTTGATTTGTGCCATGTGTGTTTATAACAATTACACATTTGATTTTCTTTAAAACCTCTCAAATTGTTGAAAATCTCTGGTGCGTAGTATAAAATCTTGTAATACAGCAGCATAAAAGGCAAGTTATGACCGAAAATCTTTCATATTCTTGTGCCCTATTTTTAAAAAGTGAATAAATCTTCCTATATTTAGAAATTTATTCCCCTAACACCTGTGTTCAGAATCAGAATCTTGTGAGTCCTTGATACTGAAAAATTGATATGTATCTGCTTCTGGTCAACGCTGGTGTCTAAAGCATTCAGATGTTCTTCAAAATTGATGTTCCCCGATCAATTTGGCCGAGCTAGAGACCCTGCGAGTTAAAAACAGATATTTTGATTTTAAGAGTACTTTACATAAAACCTTAGCGTTTTCAAAATTGCCACAAAACGATTTCACATTTCTTTTTAAATTTAAAAATTACAATTTGTCTCTCGGGTAGGGATAAGACATTTTAAAATACCCCATGTCGCATTTCGTTGAACTAGCAAAATTTTCGAAAATTGCAAGGAGACGCATTTTTTAGGAATCTTTTTACAAGAAAAAATTTTACTTTCTCGCTACTGTTTACACAGTATTAAGTATTGTAATACTGCGAATTTTCAACATAATTACTTATTGGAGGGCCCTGTCAGCGAAAATTTCAATAAATCTTTATCCTATGAATAGTAAATTCCTCAAATATATAGTGTAGGTAGAATCAATGTTTTGATGGTCCTTGATACCGTAAAACCGATTGACAATAAAAGCCTGTGAACAACGCTAGCTATTAAGGTAGCACTATGTTCGTTAGAGATTGGTATAGGTCTCATTTTCGTTGTAATCCCTGTTTGTTTTTCGAAAACTGCAAATATTCAAACATTTTTTTCGGCGACTTCCTACAATTTCAATATTATTTTCTTGTTAATGAAATATGTTCATCGGAAACATCTTGGAATAAGGTTATATTCAGTGTTTTGAAAATATGAGTATTTTTTGCATAGTAGTTTTCACAAGATAGGTGATGTTAAAATTTTAAACGATAAATTTATACCGGCATCAAAGTTTCAAACTGAGGGATAAAATAAACTGGACCCAACATCTATATATTGGTACGAGAACTTTCAATCCGGATATATATGTTCGCCTAGTGTTGCCAGATGTGTTCGAAAGAATACCTGACATATTAATATTTTTATTACCTCTCTGAACACTAAAAGTTTACAATCTACTGCTTTTAAACGTTTATTGCTTGCGATAGGATTTTCGAATTCGTTGCAACTAAAGTTTATAATAAACTTAATTATAACGATAATGGACAATTCTCTTTTTACAGCGAGTATTTCTTTGGTCATTCCATACATATCCCCTGTCGCTAAAAATTCATTCCACTAAAGCACTGGATACAGGAATACTACAGGCATACTGCACAATTGTCATTTTTCTATTGATTTACGTCAAAAACAGTTTAAAACGGTATGACGTGCTATGGGGAGAAGTTAATTTGAAGTTACATTTATGTCCAGAAGCAAAAGAAGGGGCCATCTCCGCATTTGCTCGAGGTTCAGGGAAACAACACGAAAACCTGACCGAGATGGGGGTTATTGACACAGGAACTGAAGTACAATACTTGTTACAGGTTCTTTACAATTATACAATCCAAATTATATATATATATATATATATATATATATATATATATATATATATATAATACATTAAATATCATTTTCAAAATTAATTATACTTTCCTTTTGGATGCTCAGTATAGTCTTTTAGTTATGTAGAAACAGTTGTGCAGCAGATAAGATTTTACTTAGGACTTAAATTTTTGTATCGAAATTAATCGTTTAATGTATAACTGCTATAGTATGGTGTTTGTGTGCACCGTGTGGCATCTTTAATCAGAAGTGAAAAGCCGTGTAATGTTCCTGTAAAGCAGTGATTAGTAATGTTATCCGTTATGATACGACGTGTCTTTGTCTCAAGCAGCACTCCAGATCCACTAATAAAATTTTAAGGGGTTATGGGCCCAGGATTCGCGTTAGTGAGTGGCGCGAAATGACTACATAACGCAAATATTCGCGCGGTCGATTAGAGGTTAAACAAAGCAATAAGCGTGTTATAAAAAGTAATCCAGGAAGCTCAGCGCGTAATGAAACGCTAAACATGGACAATGATGGCCCGTGGAAGTTTCAGATGGAAGCCCTGCTAATCAAGAACGCGTGAAATTACGTCAACAGAAATCATGTCGAACCGGAACCTATTGCCGATTCTGCGGTTAGAATGAGGGCGTGGACGGACGCCAGTAACAAGGCGTAAGCAGGCCTGATCCTCTCCATCCATCCATCGGAGTTAATGTAGGTAAAAGCTTGCACTACCTCGCGCGAAGTGTGGTTAAGGTTGGAAACTATTTACCAATCCAAAGGGCCCGTGCGAAAAGCAACCCTGCTAAAGCAGCTCTCGCTACAGAAGATGACGGAAGGGAAGAGTAGTCATCTCGGGAGGGTTTTCGACGCTGTGCACAAGGTGCGTGACATGTCAGAAATCAACAATGGCCTACTCGCCATCATGCTGCTATATAGGTTGCCGCACAGCTTCGAGAACTTCCGGTGTGCAAATAGAATCTCGCGGCGATTTACCGCCTCCGGAGTCATTGCGCATCAAAATCGCGGAAAAAAATGACGCGAGGAAATGTGCCGACAACCACGGCACAGCTCAGAATGCGATGGTAGACTTCAAGAAAAATTGCAACGGAAAGGGTGCAAGGTCCAAGAAAGTTCCCATTAAGTTCATATGTCACAGATGCCATAGAGTTCCTCATAAGGCGGCGGATTGCAGAAGCGAAAAACGGAACGCAAGAAATGTGGATGACATGTTTTCTCGCTTCGCCTTCAGACAACCCGTACAAGGCGTGTATGGCACAGGCCACGGAAGAGGACAAGGAATGATGCTTGGCCAGCGGATATTCCGCGCAATTGTGCCTAGATATGGGTCATTTCGCGAGAATCGACGCGGGCGTGAAAGACAAACTCAATCTTGCTAGTGCAAGCGCCTAAATAATGGATAAGGGCGTGGTTAAACTTACCCCGACTCTTGACAGCGCCGACTGAACTGTGGGGCTGAAGGATGCCCTGCATGTTCTGGACCTGCGTTTCAACCTGGTGGGAAAAATCGGTGGGAACGGATTGAATGTTACCTTCAAGACATCTGCAGAAGTGGTTGACTCGAAGGGAAATGTGACTGTCAGGGCGAAGAGAATCGACGGGCTGTGTTACATACTGTCAAGACAAGGACTGCGGAAGTGTTGCCAGCAACGACGCGATGAAAGCTCACGAGAAGAAGACCTTGTTAAAATGGCACCGCATGCGTGGTCACCATCCAGAGGTTGAATCTCGATGACGAGGGTGACTTCGTATGCGAGGTCTGTCTTCAGGTGAAGGTGACTCGTCCACCTTTTCCAAAGACGTCGGAGAGAGAATTTGGCGTTAATAATTCACTCCGACCTTTGGGACCCGGTACGGACGACCTCACTTGGAAAGGATAGGTACTTTTCGACGTTCATCGAGGACGCATACAGGTGGACCGAGGTGAAATTGCTTAAGCAAAAGGGTGATGTCTTCGATGAATTCGAAACTTTTAGAATTCGCCTAGAGACCCAAAAGGAGGTGAAGGTCAAATGTCTTCAAACGGATAATGGAACGGAGTACGTTAATCGGCAATTCGAGGAAACCCTGAGACGCTCAGGAATCCAAAGAAGACTTACTGCACCTCACAATCCGGAGCAAAATGGAGTTGCAGAGCGCAAGAATCGGTTCCTGGTAAAAACGGCCCGTTGTTTACTTGCACAGTCCAAATTACCTTCATCGTTTTGACCAGAGGCTGTTTATACGGCCAACTACATCAGAAACAGCAGTCCAAGTAGCAAGTTAAGCGGAAAGACTCCGTATGAAATCTGGTTCGGTGTTCCACCTGTCGTAACAGAGTTTTATGAATTCGGTTGTAAGGTTTAGTGCCTCGATCGCTTCACAAATAAGGACAAATTTACATCTCTATCGAGAGAAGGTGCATTCCTTAGGTATACTGATGAGGCCAATGGGTACGGAGTGTTTGATCCCAAGCGAAAGTCGAGTTGAAGTCACCCGGGATGCAATGTTTGTTGAGTTACGGGGAGAACTTCAACAGTCCAGATGTTGGTTGTGAGAAGTTCGAATATGTAAAAACGAAGACTTGTCCACGTTCGCACATTGACGTCGATTTGACTCCAAACGGACTTTATAAGGACAGGCAAGGAGCTTCGAAGGGCTCACCGAACTCCACGAGGAACGAAGAGAGTGATGAATCTGACTCCTCACCCGGTTTTCGGTGTTTCGAGTCAGAATAGAGTTTGCCGGAGGAAGAGAGAGCCAGGCACTGAACTCGATTTTCGAGGTTTTGAGCCCGACGATTTACCGTAAGAAGTCCAACGGGCGACCTCCAGTCGAGGGCCAGGAACACCGCGGAAGGTGAAGTGAGGACAGCCCGGCAGACCTAGAAAACAGTACTGTCGAGCAAGACCACGGATGCTACGCAATTTTGTCGGAAATCCATCTGAGGCAAGCCATCTCTTGTGCGGAATTGGCTGAGTGGATAATTATAAGCTATGACAAACCAAATGACATCGATCCTGAAAATGGACACCTGGATCCTCGTAGATCGACTAGAGAATCGTGAAATTGTCGGAAGCAGAATTGTATTACGCAACAAGTAAGGGGTTGATGGTAAGCTTGTGAAAAGCAAAAGCAAAAATCATAGCGCGAGCTTTTTTTCAACGA